GGTGATTCGATTATCAGGGCTATTTACCCGGATTTGTTAGAGGCTGTGTCTGTCGTGGGAGATACGACGTTATAAAGTTTATCATGTTGATGACATGTGATCAGAGCCAATAAAAAGTAGTTTTTATACTGGGATACAGTTAGCTAAGGCAGCATAGGCTAGATTCAAGCATAGATACATTGCGTTTGCATAGAACACAATTATATTGCATACTAGTATAACATTTCAAACACGAGTACAAACAAGCGTCTACCCATGTGCCTTTGCGTTTTTAGTGTGTGTTGTTATCGTCGCTTGGGACTCAATTTCAGCGCGTTCGCAGGTGAAGACCCTCTCGCTTTAAACCAGTAATATTATACCTAGTTGTTTTCTAATATAGACATTGATTTCACGGATGTACTACATGAGAACATATTAATTTGGACGCTGTCCCTCCGTTAACCGGATAGATGTATACACACATACTGACATATGTATATGTCACAAACACATCTGTGTATAGTTTTTATTCCAGTGTAATTGTTGGGCATGTCCAGCGTTAAAAAGCGTTTAAAAAAAAAAAAAAAAAGATGTCATAGTGGCTAATAGCGTCAGAAACACTTCGACTATTACTGTTTAATTTGTGGCATTCGCACGGCATTCATACCACATTATTAGTCTGTGGAACTGTTATTACGTGAATACGATTTATATATTTTTATAATCTTGTCAGGTCAGTCGTAACGTAATTTTCCTACATATAGAAACTTGTTCAGAGCTTCTTGTGCTTGTCCAATGCTTCACATAATTGATTTCAGCATTGCACATGTTCACTCAGCGCTCTATGCCGGCAGAAGGTTTTAAATTTCGCCTGGAAATAGTCAACGCCATTGAATGGTTTGTTGGTCGATGCGATCAACTTGCATGTATGCCACGACGTTCGAAAATCAATACTTGGCTAGCGACGGTAGTATTAGAAATGATATTTGGTTTTTAAAAAAAAATTGTGTATTTTTCTATAAATATGTTTAGTTCAAAAATGCATTGATTGGTTCGGACATCAGTCTTTTTACTTTAAATTTAAGTTGTCATTTCATTTTCTGTTTCCACAAATATTTAAGGAAACGTGCAGGAAAACGAAGCCAATTTTATTTAAATATGACTCCCGAGTAGCGGATTTAAGGTTGTTTAGTACAGATTCATGAAAATCTTTGATTTTGCTTTTATTGATTTGTTATTAATTCACTCGTTGCTATGATACAAGATCATATGTGAACAGATGCGACGGCACGAAATTTGGCATGGGGGGGGGGTCTGCTCACCAACCTTACTAGGAGGTCTGGACCATGCTCCCCCTTAAACATTTTGAAATATAGACCCTCTGAAACGCTATTTCCTGCATTTTGAGGGGCAAATTGTGCTGACACAGAGGGGTTTAGCTTGAATTTGGAGGGGCAAAATGTTGCATTTTTGTGAATAGTGAAACACGTACCTGCATCTATACCTTAAATTATATTTGTTCGGGATTTTCAATATTCTGTTGTGAAATATATATCTTCCCCCGTTTTATACCGTGAAATAAACAAATAAACAATGAAAATGTGTTTATTTGTCATAATTGTTACGTGGGCGAATAAATGTCACGTACGCCGCCGGCGGAAGGCTGGTCGCCATTATAAATAATATGTAAGTTATTACGAACGTACATGTACTCTACTGCTGTATTGTACATTGCGTGGATAACATGTTACGAGTACACCTGGGCATTCGGTCCGGGCATCCCAACATAATTCAAAATCAGTCGTAGGACCGATGGGCCGTATGACTAACGAAATGGCACTATTTAACCGTCAGTCACGGTGGACCCACGTGCGGTTGACTGTAGCCTATGTTTAGCTAGTTTAAGGCTACAATTTTAGACAAAACAAGTATCCTATGGAATAACATACAATTGTACAAGATCCTTGCTACGGCACTGACCCACATCTGCACACCCATTAGCAACGTTTCCTCCGGTCAGATGTAACACACGTGGACGCGTCATGCAGCTACGCGAACCGTTCAGCTGTAGTACATGGGCTTACCCTGATTTACCGCTTGGCGCGGCCATTTTAACTCCGAGGGAACGCTACTCACTGAGGGCAGTGTAGATTTCCATCTGGACACTAGTAATACACTAACTATGATTGACTTTTGTTGCGAATAGTAATATATATGCTAGTGAAACAACTGTATAGTGATAGGGTAGTAAAAGCACCGTTTCTTTCGCGTGTTCGCGTGATGAATATATGTTTTGTGATTGCGCCACCTATATGTATAATGGTCGCGTCTGAAAAATTGTCAATAATTTCGGTGCGCTTCTCAAATCCCCACAGTCCAGCAAAATTGTTCATACCGTGGTGCGAGTCTTACACCAAGCGTCGACCTAACTTTATAATTCTCTAAACAAGTCGGCCATATTCTTTTTACATCGAATCTACGTCACGTTTATCACAAAGTAGCGTCATTTACAAGGTTGCGGTGACATGATGAGAGTAACAATACAACAAGCCGTGATATTAGCGTCTCTCGTTACATGCTTCTGGACGACACCTTCGTTACAACAACGTAAGTTACATATTTATATAGGTGTATTTATTTACTAGTATTTTATTACATTTACTGTCACACACCATAACTTGTGTGTCCCAATTTAGACTTTTAGCTGTGCTGAATAAAACTGAATAGCACATACAACAAAATAAATTATTCTGTGAGTGTATAAATGGCGAAAGCCATTCGCGGTAATCCGACTTATCCGATAGCCTGGAATCCAGCCATTCAGAGAGCCCTGCCCTTTCCAAAGTCTCACCGGCGATAATACAGGCATGATCCAGTCTACTTTAGGGGTAACCAGCTTTCATTATTTATACACTCTCATTATATTATATTTTATTATATTATATATGCATATACAAGGATAATTTCAGAACAATCTCGACATCCAATGACCCAACAAATCTTCGAACAAGTGTGTGAAAATAGGCGTGACATCAAATCTTCGCGTATTCAGTTAGTTTTGACTCGTACTGAATCGGACCGGGTCGTTTGTGTGTGTGTGTGTTTGCTGCAGTAGCCTGAACGAACACGCCAATAATCCCGGTAGAAAACACGTTCGGTTTGCGTTTTAAAATAACTCAAATGAATTATGCATTTCCGTGCAATCATCGTTAAAATGCAGTAACTTCGGGTGATAAATCAAAAAAGAGTTCTAAAATTGAGGCTGTTCGAAAAATGAGTATATCGTCTAATGCTATGCAAGTGATTCGAACGTGTCTGAGAGCCTGTACACCCGTGGTGAACACATGGTCCAAACCGGACAGATAATTGTTTAATACGCACGGCGTGACGATAACGGTGCAGGCTGCTTGACCTCAGACGACCTTATTACATTCACTTTTTGTCCCGACTGTTTGTTTAGTCGAGTAGTTGGGCCAGGCTTATACGAAGTGAATATACACACTTCCGGATCGGCACGTGGCCAGCACGTGCTCGCCTTTATCCACTGTAGTGTACGAATGCGTGTGGGTGTGTTTATTTCAACGACCCTCATTAACTCCAAATTAAGATTGTTGAACAATTTTATTCCGTCGAAATTGGCAAAGACGCCTTAAAATGAGCATTATTGGCCCACATCCGCTACTACAATTGGGCACGGAGCCTCTTGGGAGAGAACACTCTCTCTCAGACAGAGTACACATCAAAGGCAGTTTATGTTGCTTGATCAACTTGAAGTTCAAGACTATTCGATCTCGCGATTGGCCTATAGGATGGAGCATTAGAAACACGCGACAGGCCTCACGTCATCCAGATAACCAAAATCTTAAGGTTACTTGAATTTTTGAGAATTGTTCATAAATCGATATTCAAGTTTTTCCTATGACACCATGAAATAACATTTTGTTTGTGTTATAGTAATAGAAAATAGAATTCAATAGAAAACAACTTGAATGTTAAAGAAAACATGTTTGTTTTTTTTGACACTTTTTAAAACTCATATATATTGGAAATAATTCAGGTCAACGCGAAGTAACCCATCATTAACAATATATTTATTATTAAGCCTACATCACCAGCTTACATATGGCATAATATGCCATAGAAACGAATGGTAAAAGCGTTTTACTGCTGGCAAAATAGGCTAGCCGAGGTGACCCCAACCTTTTAAGTCAATATCCTTATATTCTCCGGGAATAAAATTTATTACAAAATGAATAAATTCTTGGTATTTGAAATAAATTATAAGTAGGCTTCTACCTTACAGGGCGGAGGTGATAAATATTGATTTTCCCATAGTTCAGAACGCTCTTCTAATGAAAATCACAAGTACGTGAACTAATTACCCATGATAACTCTTCCATACCTTCCAATCACCAACGAAATTACCAGCGAAACAGTCACATTAGACCCATATCTCGCGCATGCGTGGCTTGACGACCACCGCCCTTTAAGTGAATGAATAATAATTTGCGCAGTCCATTTAAGCATTTGTCCTTCCAGTAGTTTCCGGTGGTAAAGCGCTAATCAGATTAACATCAATACATGGTATAAAAGAATTTCTACATCCATGGTGATATTTATATAAAGTTATAGATAATAACTGTGCCGTCACACCACACAGTAAACATTTACGATGAAACCTGCTGATGAAGTTGGCAACTTTAATAATAATGTCCCAACTGACTACTCACTGCAAGTAAAGGTCACAAAACAACATCGACTAGTTCGTATCATGCCATGTAACCACGCACTCAGGCTCGCAAAAATGGTATGAAAACTTGAATTTCTTACGTAGTTTCAGTCTGGATAATCAGTGTCATGGAAGAAATTAGTGAATGATTTGTTGATGTGAGAATTACTAGTAATTAAAATAAGTAAAAGTAACTAACACTATAAGGGTATCGAAAAGTTGTTTCTTGCTTCGCTCTCACAATACCCTGTGATGTTTTCTACACTTATATTTTCCGTCGTTGTTATTCTAGCCGCTGCGGAATGGAATAAACAGGCTAGAGAGTCTATCCTGAACTCCATCGAACTACAAGACCTCAACAAAAACATTGCCAGAAATGTAATATTCTTCGTTGGTGACGGCATGGGTGTATCCACTGTGACAAGTGCTAGGATTTTGAAAGGTCAGAAAGAAGGTCATTCTGGTGAAGAGGCTCAACTGTCATTTGAAACATTTCCCCATGTAGCTCTGGCCAAGGTGAGTTGCCTCATCTACGCCGTTGATGGCGCCATTATCAATGCAGACGAGGGTCCAGAGGCTGAAGCTTGCGTCAGTTTTTATTATTTTTCCGAAAATTACAAAACAATTGGATACAAAATAGCATACATGTATTCCACTTCTATTTCGTATGATGTTATTTTTATCGCATTTTTCGAATTTTCGGGGGAAAAAAACAAGCGCATAAGCACGTCAGATGTCGTCTGTACTAGAATTCTTCATGTTATGTTTATTATATATGGGTATTAACCAAACCCCTTTTCTACGTGTTTCAGACCTACAACACAAATCAACAGGTATCAGATTCGGCGGGAACTGGAACAGCCTACATGTGTGGTGTAAAATCTAAAGCTGGTACCATCGGAGTGGACGACAGAGTCGAAAAAGGCGACTGTCGCTCGATAAGAGATGCTAAAGTTAGCTCCTTCATGGAAATTGCCGCTGATGCAGGTAGCTTGCCATCGTTTTCATCTAACCTACTGTTTTGACTCGTAGTCTATAGAGTCTATGGTTGGCTTCAACCCACTGTGTTTACTATCAAACATCGTGACCAACATTGACAAGAGTTCCATATATTTTGCAAGGTTGATATTTGTGTGAACTTTTCTTACACAGTATATTTTTTTGAATAATATATAAACGTAACATTACGTCATTGTCCCTGTACAGGAAGAGCCGCCGGCATTGTCAGCACAGCCCGTATAACCCACGCAACACCAGCTTGTGCATATGCACATGTGCCGGAGAGATCTTGGGAGAGAGACACCATGGTACCCGGTGGTGAGAAGGCCGCTGGTTGCTCCGATATTGCTTCTCAGCTCATAGATAGTGCGCAACGATTTCAGGTGAGAATAAAACTTCACTATTATTATATGCATCTTCCATATAAGTCGCGCCCTCTATCGACGATGTCATTCATAATGCTAACTGATGCATCGCAGAGATTCGGGTTGCCTGTAAAACGGTGCGTGCTGCAGTTAAGTTGAAAAAAAAAAACACGCTCTTAAAGACTTCATATATAACGATTATACATTAAATGCATTCATTTCTCTCCAGGTTGTGATGGGTGGTGGAAGACGCGAGATGATGCCGACATCTCACCACGATCCCGAATATAGTCACGTGAGGGGTAACCGTGATGATGGGCGTGATCTCATCAACGAGTGGTTTCACGCACTGCCAGACGGAACTGATAACATGTATGTAGTAAACAGAGACCAGCTGATGGACGTAAACGTCAACGAAACAGATTATTTATTAGGTAATTTGCATATCATTTTTTAATATTTACATCGGCAACTTTGTTATTTATTCAAGTTGTTACCTTCAGTTGAATTTGTTATTTTGATGCGCTCGATTAAAATTATTACTTTGACAGAATGACTGACACTGCTTCTCAGTAAAAGTAATATATAACATAAATAAAACAGCGCGAATCAGTAATGTATGATGACCAGTGCTGACCCAAGTAAATTTGGCTCCACGAAATGTTGTGGTAAGATCTGAAACATAATCCATGTAATTGAATGCAACATTCAAACTTGTACACCAGCAACACATTTAAAATAAATTGAACACGTCAACTTGAATTCATTCGAATCCAAACTTTTAATTTCATTAATATAATATTGTAGAATTCCTGGATCAAAGCTTCTTTAATTTCTGAGACGTGATTCTCAGAAAACAGATACTACAGCACAACATTGGTGCATACTGTTACCTTCACGATGATGTAATTATTTTTCATCAGGTTTATTTGAACCAAGTCACATGCTATATCACGTGGAACGAGACGAATTGGGCGATGGAGACCCTAGTCTGGCTGAAATGGTGGAGAAGGCGATCCAAGTGTTACAGAAGAATGATAATGGATTCTTTTTATTTGTTGAAGGTAAGACTTGGCTACTTGTCACTAAGTTGATTACAGAGGATTTTTTTTCAATGCAGCAGCGTATGATTGTAATTTGAATCATGAATATTGACCTGATTTTTCTATTTATTGTTATTATTATTGTTAAGCAAAATTTCAGATATTGTAAAAAAATGTTCCGATGTGAATACACCATTCCTATAACACGCGCCCTCCAGTGATGGAGTGGTTCTGTGACGTACTACCATTTGGTTGAAGGCAATATCGTTCAAATCGACTATTGTGTTTGGCCGCCCACTTGCGTTATGATATGCCTCTTCACTTGAGGGCGCAATTTATAGTACGGCGTAATGCGTGACAGTTGCGTACGATAAATAATGACAATGACCAGTTTTTAACATGTGTATGTTGACAGCCGGTAGAATCGATCACGCCCATCACAAAGGAAGAGCCTTCTTAGCACTGACGGACACCATTGCGTTAGATGAAGCAGTGACAACAGCCAAATCTATGACAAACGACGAAGATACTTTGATAGTAGTGACTGCTGATCACAGCCATACCAACACTATAGGAGGCTATCCAACAAGAGGGAACCCTATATTAGGTAGCTTTACAAATATTTATACACTATACACAATAATAATTCGAAAATTGTTGTCATAACAACAACAGTCAGTCTGATTAAAATCCGATGAAGGCAGTGGCTCCATTCGCTTTGAAATCTCACTCGCATGGGGTTCCTCGCCTCCGACGACATCTATGAAAAACCATTGCCAGTTCCCGGATAAAAAACCAATGAAAACTCGCGTTTCAAGCCTTATAATTCTCAGTAAACATATTATCCCCCATTTTACACTCACATGCACACAAACCAACCAACATCGCATAGTCTGTTGCTTAACCAAATGTACAAATATTGTAGTCTCGGTAATTTATGTTGAGATTCGATGAAACGGACATTTAATTACTCTATATTGTCATGCAAAATATTGAAATTAACAAACACCAGAGTATTAAACTTCTCAGAAATTAATGATGGTGCCTGCAGATTAATTTTGCTTTTAGTACACAAAATCTTAGTCACTGTGTCAATATTATCGTCCCTACATTCCAGGCAGAAACAACAAAGAGCTTGCGAGGGATGGACTGCCGTATACAACTTTGTTGTACGCAAATGGACCAGGCGGAGAAGAAGTTCGGCAGAGTTACAGGAATAAAGGCAGAAGGCCTGATGTAGGAAACGATGACACATGTAAGTTATGCAGCTCGTCTGTACTTTTCTGAGACTACGTGAACATGTCTTTACACAACGCTCATAAAACAACGGACTACATTGAGGTTTCTGACGACAATGTGTTTTTTCCTTGATGACAAATTCATGAATGTTGTTTCTCCCGTCGTCACGTCCACTGATCCACAAAGAAAATGAAACACTTATTGTTAAAGGGGAAAACACACACACACAGAAAAACAGACACTCGTGGCGCTCACACTTCCGTTCCTGTCGGTACCTTGGCTTCCACCATTGCAACACCGTATTTTTGCAATGTTCTTTATTGTCATAAACAAGTGGTGATTTGTTCAAATAAAGAATATATGCGTATAAGATATACGACCTGTTTTCGAAAAAAATATGGCGATGCTCATAAACTTGGAAAACATCTAATAGACTGTATACGTTTGTAAGAAACTAACTTATTCCAGAGTGGAGAGATCACGGTAGTCATTTCCTATCACAATTATCATAATAAAAAGTTGATTCATTTTGTTGCAGATGAAAGAGACTACCGACAACAAGCGGCCGTCCCATTGTCGGATGAGAGCCATGCCGGAGAGGACGTGCCCATATATGCAACTGGTGCATACGCACATCTATTCCACGGCACACAGGAACAAAACTATATTGCCCATGCCATCAAATATGCTTCCTGTATTGGCGAGTATTCAGATCACTGTCGTGCGCAGGCAACCACAAAAGCGCCAGTAACAGTGAAGAGAACGACTAAACGTTCCACAACTCCAGCTGTGACGAAACGTCTACAGTATGCACCCGTTCCCACGCAACAACTGCCGAAATCGGCAGACACTGAGGTTATAGAACGTTTAAACGAACAGGACGACGATGGACATTCGGGAAATACACTTACTTACATTCCGCCCAAAATTGAACTCCATTGTGTCATGACGCCCTCATCGGCAAGTACGCCCGCATTTATGGTTGCAACCACTATATTTTGTTTTGTATATTACGTTATACTGTTGCTATTTAGATGAAAGTAGAATAGTTATTAGTATTTGCTATATTTTATGACTAGGAATGGGAATTTTTTAACGATTTTAAAAAATGTAATTGTTTTGTTGTCACTATTTATTTGTTTATTTTTGGAGTATTAAAGTTTAAAAATAATAAATACTTTCATTTATGATAATATTGTGTGCACCTTTCTTGATGTCTACGCCACAAAAACACAAAAGGACCATGTGAAAACCCCGTGCTATTTTTTGTTTTTATGATAAATTTGCTTTTTTAAACACTATGTGGACATTTTTTTTTTCTTTAAGATTTACTCGTGTATATTTTTTCTGTTATTTTTTCCTGCAGTATTTTATACAGCATTTTTTTTCTGCGCAAATTATATTTTTTCTTCAATTCTTCCGCCACCTCAAGATTATATAATGGTCAACCCCTAATGTCATATTGCCGAATTAACGATGATGATAAGGTTCCATTGAATCAAACCTCATTCAAAAACGGTACGGACAATTTTCAAATCATTGGTCTCGAACATGTCTCGCCCGCCATAATATTTTCCCGCTACGTTCCAAACACTGTGGTTGGTGGCGTACTTGAGAAGTCCAGACTGATTTGGGAGCTGTGATGTGCACATTCACTAGTGAGCGTCGTGTTAACAAATAACTAATGGGGGGCACTGATCGTATTCTTCTTCAATTAGATTGATCGGTCCCCTCTGTAATGTGTTTGAATTCACACTCTTTGATCTACACATAATTTGTCGTCAGATTTCGGATTTTATCACGCCCAGAGTTAGATAATGTATATTCATCAGTGGATCGTTGTGCAACCTTAAATACAGCGCCTACATACCAAACTTTAATGCACACGAGTTCCCAAAATTCTACGACCTTTCTGTGACACGCGGTCTGCATCCACGCATATCGTCATAGACGCTCCAGGGACTTCATAGCAGATTTCATTTGCAAATAAGGGTGTTTCCTGAAAGCAGTTCGTGGAGAGCTGTTGACAGGACTCATTTTAAAGAGTTAAACGCTTTCAAAATGTATATTTATACATGTTTTGTTGCAGTTTTCAAGTCAGATAAAGCATCCTGTACATGAGCTCTTCTGGGATATAAATTCCACCGTGACGACACTATTTCAAACAACGAATGTTTCAATCGTGATATATTCTCAGGCTAAAGTGAAATTGTAGAAATCAAACACGTACACCACGCACATACATACCGTAAATGGGATTTGTTATAACATTACAAGGTTATCTCTAGATCTCACCTATTCGTAGAGATGGTTGACACGATTGACGTCATGAGCTTAGTATTATTCACACATCGAAGGCGAAGAAGTAGAGGGCAATAACCGAGTACTGGAAAGGGGTTTTGTGGGACAGAAAGAGACGAAATAAACTATAAATATTGAGGTCATATTTTTTGGAGACATTCAAGTAAGTTCCATGAAAAATGTGAATGGATACATCGAACTCGTCGTTAGATGTATATGTCGATACTTTCAGCTGGAACAATTCCCATCTATTTCCATGTTATTATCACAAATATACGTCAGTTAAGATGACTAGCACTATTGATACCTCAGTATTACATAGATTTAAATAAATTGCTGAAAAACACAATTTGTGACTTTTTAGTACTAGTTGTTTGGCCTTTGTCTCAGTAAGCCGAATATACCTCACCCACAAATCAATGCCAAGATCTCACTGAGAGCGAGACTTGATTTTGTCCACTCTTTCAAATACCATGGTTACATAAATTAGGAGAATAGTAGAAGCAATTACGGGGGTGGTGATGTTTAGAGTGAAACGTAGACTGGCAAAGTCGGGACTTCTTTTTTGTTTTACAAATAGAAATAATTAATTGTTCTTTTATTCC